AATTATCATAAAAAGCAATGCATATAAATTTCTTAACAGCTGCACTTCACTTAAAACTAATTGATTCCACTGCTTCTGTTGCTTTTATTATTATGAAAGTTTAATTGCGTCCACTTGTTAGTTTGTTTTGTAATAAAACTTTATTTTTATACAATCATTTACATTTTTTAAGCATTCTGTTTTCTAAAATGTTGAATTTATAGATGCTTGGTTAAATAATTCATGAAGAAACATTTCTAAATCGAGAATATTTAAAGCAACCATTTTGAATTCATTAATATACGACGCTAAATTTCTTTTTAGAGAATTTTCACTTTTTTTATAACATATTTTTTTTATAACTTTCCCATTTTTTGCCCTTATTTTAAATTCTTATTTTCAATTAAAAATGTTTGAAAAGGTGATTTTATGTTTTTAGCTTGTATCGGTTTCTTTTTTTAGCAGTTATTGATTAGTGGAGATAACCGTCACTAGCGATTGAAACCGATCACATGATTGGCTGAGTTTATCGGTTCTAAAAAGTTAACAAAATATTAATAGAAAATCAAATACAATAATTTTAAATTTAGTTGCCACTTTGTTAAAGAGTCTTCAGCCATAAGTTTCTTTTGGGTCCCTGCACATAATAGAATAGGAATTAATAAAGAAGTAGATAAACGAGCCAAATCTTCTCCATAACCTTGGAGTATTATTCCTTGGATTCGAGTGGAGGAGAGAGAGATCTACAGACATATTTCAAAAAACGACAAATAAAAGTAAAAATGGAGACTCACGGACAAAGAGCTGAAGATATAAAAATGTTCATTATATTTCACATCTTGAAAACTGAAAAAGACAAGCGGTGGACAATAGATATTCAGAAGCTTTCATTAATAAGACGCGAGAAAAAAGCTAACATTGAATGCATATATTTTCTTTTTAAATAAGTAGATTCCCCAATGCGCGTTATGAGTGCCAAGTACCAGAAGCAAGTGGACATCTCTTTTATAAATCTGCCATAAATACAAAATTCAACGAAAAGTTTTTTTATTTCCTAACATGGTGAACGGTTCTATTGAACAATAGTGAGATGTACAACAAATGAGCACGTTCATAAAGTTGAAGAATTCATAATGTCTACCAGTAGATTGTGAAAGATAAATATATTCATCGAATTCTTTCGGAGTGGTGATTGAATACTGAAGTTATCCTATTCAGCTACACGAGGCTTTTAGCAATGGACATCGTAATTTTGAACCATGGTCAAGTGACAGGAATGACACCTGAGTTACTTTTCAAACCGCACCAACGGGAAAACGTTTTAGCCGCGAAAGATTTCCCGTGCATCAATCCTTCCACATGGTGGATCTTTAGCCGCACTAGGGTCGAACTTATGACAAACTGTTCATGAATCCGGCACGGTAGCCTAATGATCAAGGTTACGTACTCGTGGTTTGGATGTCAGGAGAAGGGGGTGCCAGCTCAGATGTCAACCTCATCACTTGACCATGGTTCAAAATTACGAGGTCCGTCCCCAAAAGCTCTCAAGTAGCTGAATAGACGACGTTAGTATTCACTCACTCGCTGGTCAGGAATCCGTTACCTTGACCACTATGCTACGGCAGCCTCCAATTTCTTTCGGAGGAAAAAGATTTAACTAGGTCTCGAAAATGATAATGTTATCACTGTGCTAAACTGAACTGAATCGATGATTTGCTGCGAGAAACTGTTCGTTCTTTTCACTAGCTGGAGCGTTTTGTTTACCAACGTTATGGACAACTTTATTTTGTTAAACTCAATTGGAATGCTTCTGTATATAAAATGTGACATGTAATTCACCATATAACGTCAGTGAAATGAATTAAAGACTGACGCTTAAGTGATGACCTTCTTTTAGGACATACCTTCAAAGTTTTCTTCGAAATGGGTGAGTGGAAAATCTTCAAATTTGTTTCTTAGACTTTTTATTGTGTGTATTCTTGATTAGATCGGTTACTCTTTATCGGTTTTTCTTAGAAATTTTTTTAAATCCCTTAAGTTTTCAAACCGTCCATTTGAAAACAAAGACTTGAAGCTGATTTAGAGCTGAGTTCCGAAAATCGTTCATCTTTGAAAATAATCCAGATGTATGGTTCACTGAGTTTGAATCTTAGTTTAAGATTTTTATAAATACGAATGAATAAAAAGAAATTTCAATCTGGTGAAGCAATATTAGATTTAAAAATTAATTCACGTGTTTTAGATATCATTCGATTTATACATAAAATTTATTAGTGTTATATTCTTTTAAACTAGGATTATTTAAAACTCTTCTCAATCTAAAAACTCGAAATTGCGTGTAATACGTCAATATTTGCAGATGGGAAACAGGAAACCATAACAAAACAAATATTGCTGCAGGAAACGTGAGAATGTTTAAAATCTATTTGGGTGCAAGAGCTTCCCACTTAACTGCAGAAAATTTACCGCTTTCATATGATAAATTAAAGAGCTTATCGCTGATAAAATTAACGAAGTTTCACACTGTGTGAAATCGTGTTGTAAATTCTGTTACATCGGACAGTTTTGATGTATAATCCCTTAAAGATGAGATCGCTGAATTGCGAGCTCCAGTTAAACAAATTTCATATCCCAGATTAAATTGATGTAATAAAATTAGACGCAAACAATCAAATTTTGAAATTCGAAGTGCGTCACGAACTTAGAAAAGTAAATCCAATCAAGATTTGGGCATCACCAAAGTTTTACTTGAAAGTTTTTAAAACAAACGTTGTTTCTTATAGTTATCTGAAAAATAAAAGATTTGTTTGCGTCAGATAATAAAGATATAAGATACACTATATATGAAAATTTTTTATATACTGTATTTATTTGAATCTAAGCCACTCTTTTGATCCTCAACAAGATTTTGCGAAAAAGATAGAGTAAAATGTTTTATCGACATTCCAATTTTTCGAAAATTTAAATAAATTTAAAATGAGAACTTAGATGAAGTGAATAATTAGTTATTTTACCAGTATTCTAAGCTTTTAAATACATGCTGCATGAACCTGTAATTGCTATAATTGCCCTATACAACCAGTACTTTTTCCTTTGATTCAAAGCTGCACCTGATTTTTTATAGAATTAACATCGGAAAAAAGTTGCGGTTTAGATTCGAGTAAATACGGTACCACGGAAAAAACCAAATAAATATTAACTCTGATGTACGTTATTCCCATGGCAACCACATAGGCCAGATGATAAAAATATCAAGATAATCATATTGTAACGTTATCACCCATTTTGGCGAACATAAACAACAACTTGGCACTTAGCCCCACAATATCAAACTAGCACCAAACTTTCAATTCCAAAATTTAAATATTTGATATTGGTTTGCGACGTGAATCTTTTTGATATATTATTGTTTCTGATGTTACGCATCCCATATACTCGTTAGGTATTTTTAGGTAAAATTTGAACTTAATTTATTTAAGTTTAAAAAAGGAAAACACCTTCCGACAATTTGTTAGAATCAACTCAAATTTTCCTTACCATAGATTTTTTTAGGATCGCGTATTTGTTATCCTAGTTTTTTTTTCAGAAAACAAAAGTGTCTTTCTCTATTTCGAATATGGTATTAAAATAAGTGGGAAAGCCAGTTCTTGTTTTTGAAAAAAAAAAGGGGGGGATTGAGGGAGTTATGGGTGTCCTCGTAAATCAAACTCTGTGACAAGACCTAAACTCTGTTATCTTTCATACCTATAAAATTTCGTGAAAACTAATCGGACAAAAATATTTGGTACTTAACTATTATATCATTGCCGGATTATGTCAAATTAAAAGACGTTATCAAATGTCGCAATATGCAACCAATAGTGGAAATCATTCCCTCGCTTGTTCGATGACAATAATAGTAATATTATTTGGCAACATTTTTTGAATCGGCATAAGTACCACAACTATTTTTACTAAATTTGTAATAATCAAGCTGTTTCATAATTTCCTATACAAATTTCAGGTGTATAATTGCATTCTTATTATGTTCCAATCGATTTATATGAAAACACATATGAATTTTGGGTTAAAAAAAAACGCGTCACAAAATATTTAAGATTTATCGAAGACGTTTTGTTTCGTTCCAGATGAAATTATTTATAAACTTGAAATAAATTTTAATAAATGTGTGTTTTGACAGAAATAAATTGCAATTTTTAGGAGTTTAGTGTTATACCCATAACCCTTAGTGGTGTCTAAAGTTTATAAAAATCGAATCATTTTACTTGGAACATAGATACATATATTTTAATTTTATTGAATTTTTTAAATTAACACATAAACGAAGTTTCCACAATTCTTTTCATTATTAAATTCGTCTAAAGTAAACTCTCTTTCTATACATAGAAATCTTCTATAAACTGGAAAAATCGCAAATTTTAAAATTCATGGAAAGAAAAAAAAAAAATAGAACAGTTTCCAAATAACAAGTAATACTCAAACCCATTGGCGCAACAGCCCATGAGAGGCCAGGCCTACTGTGCCCATTCCAGTATACGTGACCATTGGGCTCTGAGGTGCATGAGCAGATGTCCCGATCAGGTGGTCAGTATGAAGCAAGACTCCCCAGTGTTTAAGTCCCCATGAAAGCTTGGAACTGATTTATCGACCCACTACAATAGAGCTAAAAGGCTGAATCGACCTAGCCCAGCCCGGGAATAGAACCTGGACCTGTTGTGTGGAAGCGCGATACGCTACCACTCGGCAATAACACACACAATTAATATATATGTATAAAAAATTAAGTCAACAACAATTTTTTTAGTTACTTTCTATTTAATAATTACAATTAATATAAATAGGTATATACATAGGACAGAATCACAATATTAAGTGGCAAAAAAGAAAGCGATTTTCCATTTTCCTTTCTATATGGGGTATTTCACTATTATTTTTGTTTGTTACTATTTATTCATTAATTAAATTTAATTATTCCAATAAAACAGTATAGTAAAAAGAAATCACATTATCAGAAATAAGGCCATCCCAGATGGAATTCGAATCCACGAATTTGGATTAGAAGTCCAACACGTTATCCAATGCGCTCCAGGGACTCAGCCAACGATTTTCCTTTTTATATATGGTGTTGGACTCTTAGTTTTATTTTGCTTTTTATTCATTAACTAAATTGAATTAGTGAATTAATACTTGAAAAAACTGTATTAACACCTAAACCTAATTACCTACCCTAACTACAATTTTTAAAATATTTATTTGAACTTGAGTGAACGAATTAAAATTATTTCATTAACGATTAAAAATTTGTACATGATATATATAAATACATATGGGGAAAGTGTGAAGTAATAGTAAGAATATTTTTAAAAAGGAAAAATTTTACATCAAAAAACTTAATAATTAAATTATTTTTTTCAAATTGTATATAATTTTAAACTACATTATAAAAATTAGCATCATAATAACTACAAATATGTTTCATATTAAATTTTACAATACGTAGAGATTCAAGAAACAATTAGAACACAGTTTAAAGAAGAAATGAATTTGAGATTAATACGATTTAAGCCCATAAAAATGTATTTACCACAATTTATCGAAAAGAAAAAAAAATATTTCCTTGGTTGTATTTTAAATAAAGTATTTTCTATTTTAAACGCATAAAATCTATAATGTGTGCATTTTCTTAGAAGTTTTACTTTAAAAAAAAATCTCCACGTAAACATCTGAGGTTTTTTTCAATATAATTTAAACTTGGATTTAACAAAATATTTTAGAAAGAACTGTTACCTAGTAAAATATTCTTGCTTTCATTCTGAAGCCTCAAGGGTTGAGGTGAAAGAAGTGAATATATAAAAAATTTTATTTTCTAGATCATAAGCAATATCTTTTGAAATAGCTTTTCTGAAATATTTATTTAGCATAATGCAGTTATATAAGCAACAGTAACCTCTGAATCGAGAAAAGATACCAATTCGCGTAGGTTTTTATTATTCAGCGAGAAATTTATTTTAAAGGATACCTGTATTTGAATTCATAATTTACATAATAATTACATACACAGCCATAGAATAATTAAGTAATAATGTTTATCATATAGATAAGTATCCAGGATTACAATAAATAAATTATTTATCACTTATCTTTATCCATGGAAATATTATTTCTTAGCAACCTTGCTGTCACCCAGTGATTCTCAAACTGTGGGGCGGGCCTCCTAGGAAGGCGTGATAGCTCTATGTGAGGAATGTGAGCATGTCGAAAATAAGAATATTTACAAAATTATTAATTTGCTGAAAGGAAACAAAACAAAGTAAACATTCTGACATAACAAAATATTCCTTCACACTAATATAATAAACTTATAAATATATCAGTATTGCACAGTGTATTTGATAATGAATTTATCAATACTAAATTAAGAACTCTCTGCCCATTTAACGGAGGACCAACCCCTCGCACATTGAAGTTTTTCTAACTGTTCCGAATGTAAATTTTTAACTAATTTTTTCTTTAAAAATTCGTGTTTTTCGTACACTTTCATCATTTGTTCTTTTTTCCGCAAAATTTATTCTTGGCGCTACTTTTCAGTTAAATTTAATTTTTTGATACCCATTTTTACTAACTATACCTAATGTATAAATAAATTTATTACAGCTTCACGGAAAACTGTTTTGTATAGAGAAAGAAAATGTTCTCTCTCTCTCTCTATATATATATATATATATATAATAATCCCAATAATTTTATATGTAATAGCTCTTGAATTATTTAAGGTCCAGTTCTTCAGGACAACCGTGTAATTATTTGAATTGGCTACCCGCCTACCGGGGACTTTTGAAACTACGTCCATCGACCTCCAAAATCACGTAATGTTCCACTACATATAAATAGCGAGACTCTAGAAAGCCCGTTCTCTCTTCACTCTTATCTCTGTAGTCATGTAGCCGGCTGCTTTGTGTTTTGTGTTGTAGTTTCTTTGTATGTGTTGTGTCGTTCATGCTTAATGTAATTAATATGTCTAGGTATTTCAAGATATGAAATAAATTGGATATACTAATTTACAAGACTGCCTCATCAATCCCATCATAGAAAATCCATCAACATACAGTATCATTCACTCACCACCGGCCATGTCCTGTCCTTTCGTTTTTTCACTAACATCCACTCACCGCGTGTTAAAAATAAGACGCATTTGTTGTCTGTCTGTTTGTCTGCTCCCTTATAACTCAAAATCCAGGCAACCAAATAACGTAGATTTGGTACACGTACACAAAATTACATGAGGAAGGTTCTTAAACAGGTTTCGTTCCATTCCAACCTCACTCTGTCCTTCTACAGCCAAAAGTAGTGCTCCATGTACCTGTCCTGAGCCGTGTGATAATGAACCAAAAAAGAAAAAAAGAAAATCATGTAAGTTGGTCATTGTGCATGTTTTGAATGTTTTTGGGGGTGAGGATGAGATGATGAGGATGTAAATAAAAGTGATGGTCATGCATGTGTTGGAGTGACGGTGACAGAACCCCCCTCCTCCCTCCAGACCAATGTTTGTAGGATGTACCTCACCTCCAGCAGTCATCTTACATGGCGAAGGTTCTTAAACAGGTTTCATTCCACCCAACCTCACTCTGGTCTCCTCCAGCCAAAGTAGTGCTTCATGTGCCTGTTCTGAGCTGTGGGTACATTACTAAACTAACTAACTTTACTAAACAAAAGTGGTAAGTAAACGCAATACTTCTTTGTTGCATCTCTGCTTGCTGGTGGTCGAACAGCACATTCGACCTTCAATTTGCCACTGGACTTGGCCAGATCAGACAGTGCTACTCACAATATTTCCAAGTGCACAGGATAGGGACATTTTCTCAAGACCTGCAAGCTAATTGTCTGGGATGAGGCTACCATGAGTCACAGAAATGTTTTTCATGCTCTTGACAAGACATTACAGGATTTGCGAGGCAGTTCTGCAATAATGGGTGGAACAACTGTTGTGCTTGCTAGTGATTTTCGACAAACACTTCTTATTATCACACGTGGCACACCAGTAGATCAGATCAGTGCCTGTTTGAAAAATTCTTATCTATGGCACCATGTCGAAAATTCAGTCTAACTACAAACATGTGGTTACTCACTCAGGATGATTTGTCTGAGGACGTGGCCGAGTAGCCGAGTGGTATAGGTATCGGATCGTGGCTTGCCTTGTCACGAGTTCGAGCCCAATAGCACTAAAGACCTGCCGTGTAGAGCAGCGATGCACGTTAAATCTGTCAAGAGCTGAAACGTCCTCCCGTTGGTGTGGTAGTGAGGAGAGGGGGAGGGCTAGCTCAGGTGTCATCCACGTCACTTGACCATGGTTCAAAATTACGTGGTCCGTCGCCAAAAGCCCTCGTGTAGCTGAACAGTGCGACGTTAATATTCAATCAATCAATCAATTGTCTGCAGGACAATTTGTAAACAAGTTGCTCCAGATTGGAGATGGTATAGTTCCTGAAGATCCTTCAACATGCTTCATCATTATGCCATGTGGTCAAATTGTCAACTCTCTTGACGAACTTCTGTCCAAGGTGTATCCTAACATTCAGCAAAACTGCAAGGATCAGGACTGGATTTCTCACACACCATTCTGCAAGATCAAATGATGTGTTTGAGAAGCTCAATGTCACCATTTAGAAGCAGCTTCCAGGGCAAGAATATGCCTACAAGTTCATAGACTGCATCCTTAATGATGATGAAGCAGTACAATATCCCATTGAGTTCTTGAATTCCATCCAGACTCCTGATTTGCAAGCCCACAACTTGATTCTGAAAGTTGGTGCTCCAATAATGCTGATCCGAAATATTGATGCACCCAGGTTGTGCAATGACACAAGATTAATTGTGAAAAAGCTGATGCAACATGTCATTCAAGCCACAGTACCCACAGGGTGTGCTAAGGGTGAGGATGTCTTCATTCCAAGAATACCTATCATTCTCTCAGACAACACCATACAATTCAAGAGTTCCCTTTGAAACTGTGCTTTGCCATGACAATCAACAAGTCATAGGGCCAGTCTTTTGGAATTGCTGGTATCGACTTGCAGGCACCATGCTTTTCTCATGGGCAGTTGTATGTGGCCTGCTCCAGAGTGGGCAAAGAGGAAAATCTTTTTGTACACACTCCAAATGGAACTGCCAAAAATGTTGTCTATCACATTGCTTTAAGATAAATGTACCCTTTTATTGCATGCAAATAAACAGTTTTGTAAGCTTCTACAGAAAACCTTATTTTAAACCCGGGCAAAGCCGGGTACTTGCAGCTAGGTACATATATATATAGCGTGCATTATATATATGTGACAGGGCATTCCATAATTTTCTAAAAAGATTTTTCTGTTGCTGTTAAACCATTATTCAATACTGATACAGCAAAGCCAAAATAATAAGATTCTGATTTGACTTATAACCAAGTAAGGCCCATAACTTTAATTTTTGTATTACACAAATAATCTACAAAACTTATTTTCTTTTTAATACACACATGAGCATTTTTAAACTCGATGAAATAAATATGTTTAACAATTACGCAACTCTTGCAATGGGCGTTTTCTTACCGCTAATGAAATATCCGCAGTGACTTACATAGTTTTTTGATAAAATAATTGATGTTGAAGATATTTAATTAAAATAATTAAACGAGTATATAGTTTTGTTTTTAACAGAAAAGCTCATGTTCACAAATTCAGTCATGAATGTATACACAGTACGCTATTGTTTAATGACAACACTTTTATTTTTAGGGGACTTTTTTTTTAGTTGTGTAATCTTAAGCAAAGGAACATCTGTGTTAAGGTTCTTCATTAACTTTTATCTCACGTTGAAGATATTTTTCCAGGGAAAAATCAACTAAAAGGGAAAAGGAGTAGGGAAAAAAATAAGTTACTTAGTTTATCTTGTTAAGCTTTTCCCCTTAATGACCCTATCGTCTTGCCACGACCTCAAAGTATTTTAATGGTGCGAATAAAACCTCACCATAATCAATCAGTACCCTAATTAAGATGAGAGAAAAGTAGAAGTTAAAAATGATAGGAAGAGGAGTTAAATTACGATCTCGACATTATGG